TCAAGTAAAAATATCAGAAAAATCTACTTGAGTACAGTAACGAAGTATTTGTACTTCGTTACTTCCCATCTCTGCCTGTGACATCACCTGAAATCATCAAAACAGTTACCTACGACCCCTCCTTGGAAAGATTTGAGCTTCTAGTTTCCAATTATACCGGCCATTAGGGGGCGGGGCTAAAAATTAATACCCGCTGTTGCATTACTCAAGCGGACACACATGTTAGGTGGAATTTTATTTGTTTACACAGCTATAAAACGGAAATTTTAAAGCCCCATTTAAAAGGCGTGTGGATGAAACACCATGTGACTGTGTTTCGGCCATTTCTATAAATATATAGGCAAGGCAAGGCAAGGCAAATTTATTTGTATAGCACAATTCAGTACAAAGACAATGCAAAGTGCTTTACATGATTAAAATACAGGAATATAAAACAGAATCAAAGCAAGTAGGAAAAAAAATAAATAAATAAAAAATAAATAAATAAAATAAAATAAAAAATGCAGAAACAAAAAAAGAATATTAAAAACAGTTGGATTAAATAAAATATGTTTTAGTAGAACTGTTTAACTAGAACAGTCGAAGGCAATATAAATATATAAATATATATAAATATAAACATCATATAAACATATAATATAAACATCAGCTGGTGTCAGTTGGGCCCGGTACCGGGCCCGCCAGGCTCAAGAGGTTGAAGATAGGTGACACCTCAGCTGGATTATTAATCACTGTCCTGATTCCTTTCAGAGTCAAATCTTTGTCGGCTCTTTTTAATGTGAAATAAACATTGTTAGCTGCGATAAAACTAGTAATACATCCAAATAATTCATAAATATTGCCTCTGCTCATGTAGATATGGAAGGCTCACAAGTGTAATTCAATATTATACACAAAATGACTAAAAATGAAAGTGGAATAAATCCCTGCTAGGTGATTTATGAATTCCTTCCATTATTTTTAATTAAAATCTCCTCAACAGGCCAAGCTCAGACACGATGCGTCATATTTATTACAGGGGTGTCATGTGCTCCCCTTGTTCTCTCTGTTCCTGCAGTGTTGGAATGCATTAGCCAGCATAGATGTCAACAACCATTGAAAGCCCCTCATTGAGATTAGTGTGGCAGCAGTACATTTTATTCATGGCTTTTAACATCTATTCTCTGCTTTCCGACAGATTAGCTGGAGCATAAATAATTTACAGGAAAGTTTTTACTGGTGCAGATAGTAAAATATGGCAAACACTGAGGGAGCATAACTAAGATTTTCTGCAGCCTGCTGTTTTGAGATGCTGCCTAATGATGTATTTTTCAGCTCCAAGTCTGGAGTAAAAACTCCATCTGCCCGGTTAGTCATCAAGTGTTGCTTTTTCTATGAGAACATAAAACAGATACAAAAACAGGATATACAGTTAATACCGACATTATGGGACCTTCCTCTTCCTGTTCAAATGGATGTTCTCTTATGTTTGTATGTTAGAGCCTCCCTGTTCAGTTCAGTTTATCTGTTTGGTATGCGTGTTTTTGTGGATTTAATTACTTGTTTGACTGCAGTGCCTTGCAAAAGTATTCATTACCCTTGAATCTTTCCAATAAGGTCCCTGATTTACTAAGATTCTGCATATATATTTGCATAAAATCTTACAGTGATTGATTTCATAAATATGTGGGAAAGATGCTGATCATCAGAATGGTGTAAAATACTGGGAGTAAAATGTGCAAATGTGATTTTTCTTCTTTTTTTTGTTTACCAGCCACGATATGATTTAACCAACCCGAAACAGATGTTTGCAGTTACTGTACTTTCTTTTTTTAAACGTTAAGCATTTTT